AAACACAATTGATTTATTTATTCCCCGAAGTTAACTTCGAGGGATGCACGTTAAGTTCGATAGCGGCATGTGATTTGATGCTGTTATTCTGAAGCGCGATTTCTTCATATAACGTTGGTCGATAGCGTGCGCCTGTTATAATATAAAGGTTTTACTGATACAACACACCAGTTGAAGCCACATAACGTGTTTGACGGATAACATGCACGTTAAAGTTAACGTGAGTGATACAGCACAGGGCTGAATTTTGAAAATTTTTCTTCCACACGGGCCTGCGCAAACTTTTTCGTCTTTCCTCTGTAGCGCACAGAGGAATTTTTCTTTGAACCAACCAAAGTTGATTTGTCATGTAACTTTTCCATATCTAGCCATCTGTCAAGGAATAGTTARAAACAAAWAATAAAAAWTTTTTTCGCCAAAAATTTTACATTTTTATTTTTTCTCGAAAACAAACMTTCCTGTCAAAAAAATTTTTTTTTTGTAAAATCTTGTCTCAGAGCACTATCTCAGAGCACTATCCAACCGAATTTGCTTCAGCGTTCCAGCGTTGACAGTTTTCGAGAAAATCACGAAAATCTAGRGTTTTCAACKTTTGTTAAGAACCGTGCGCGCCAAATTATCYCGCAGAAGMATAAAATTCAAATTGGCAGGATCAATAATTAGAGCAACAGTTTATTTATCGTTAARCACAATTTTRCTCCTCCGCTGGCTATATTTTCRAAGCTAAYTGMACAGTACTTAGAAGATTGAAGAAATTTACCCTTGAAATAGACCCCTTGCACATTTTCAGAACAAAGACTCCAGCRCCTAATTGCTCTATTTCTGGCCGTTTTTTTTWAGACCCGCACCCCTTTTTCTTCATTTCCACCAATTYATGGCAAATTAAGYACCTACAAGACGTTTAGATTTCWTTTCTTGGTTGCAGATTTGGATGTGTTTGAAGAAGCAGAGCTAGACAGCGACTCAGACGAGGAACCCTTACGATGTCTGGACTGTAACTTACTATTTGTGAGCAAGAACTATCTGTACAGGCACCTGTTAAATCACATCAAGCAGCCGTATGTTAAGCTGGAAAAAGTGCAGCTGCGCAACCCGCCTTTGAGGATCACTTTTAAGGTAAATGTTCTGCTCACTTTCTCCTAAAATTACATTGGCACTAACATGAAATCCAGAATCGGACAGGCCATAGATTTGAGATCGTTTCTCCGCGACAATCGCCTTTGTCCTTGGACAGGGGCTATCAGTCTAGCAGCCTGGAGGAGACTCCGAGAAATCAGGGGCGAGAGGATTTTTACGATCCTCAAGTGGGTGAAGAAACTGAAAATTACGAAGACGAACACGAAGAGGGGTCGATTGAAGGTGAGCAATTTGTTCCGTTTTTCGCAATTTATTTTACCAATAAACTGCCGAGTTCTACTGGGCTATGAACACAGCTAGTGACGAGTAAAGCAAGACCAAGACTTGCATGGTCTTGTTCTTGTTCTTGCATACATGGTCTTGGTCTTGCAAATCAACAGCAGTCTTGGTCTTGCAGCAAGACTCTTGCTTTTATAGAGCCGTAAAATGAGACG